TGATTAATAGTTTTTAAAATCACAAATCTTTCTTATGTAGTAATTTGAAAGAATGCATTTCTGCAAAATTACATTTTAAAAACATCCCTGAGAGCCAGGAGCACCTGGGTGGGTCAGTTGGTTGAGTGTCTGAATCTTGATGTCGGCCAGGGTGTGATCTCACGGTTCATGGGTTTGAGCCCCGCATCGGGCTCTGCGCTGAGTGGAGCCTGCTTGGGATTCTCTCTCCACCCTCTCTCTCTGACCCTCTCTCACTCACGGGCACTCTTTCTCTCTCTGAAAATCAATAAATAAACTTAAAAAATATCTCTGGGAGCAATTACTACCTTTTACATTCAAATTAAAGTTAATAAATATTAGAAATTTTCTTTGACAATGTGTGTTAGGAATTACCCAACCCGCTCCTGAAAAAAAAAGGGAAAATCCTGATATTGTATGGGTTCTCTTGTTTCAAACATTTTCTTTTTCTTTGAACTAAAAAGGCAGGGTCTAAGATTAACTTTCTGAGACCCACTCTGTCTCACTTTGATGGTGTTGGCTAAGAAGCTGCATTGTTAATATGGCATGAAGTCAGTGTAATTCTACTTAATTTTTATTTCTCCAAGATAACCTAAAGACATAAACATGTTTCTTTTCTTTGGCCTGGTTTTTAAACAAACATGGAGAAGGCAGGTTCCTGAATGATAGAAGGTCACAGAGAATACAGGGACAACATTTACTGTTGTGGTCACCACTGCAAGTTGGGTTTGGTTGGGAAAGTCTGATGTTTGGAGTTTGATCCTTACGCCTTCATGGGTATCAGTGCTTCCAATGTGAGTGCCATGGAGGAGAGTGACATGGAACCATTGGTGAAATCAACTCTTTATTGAACCCCTTTTCTAAATGTTCAGGCACATTGCCATTGATGCTGTATTGGTTTTGTATTGCCGCTGTTACAGCATTACCACACATTACATTACCACAAAATTAATATAACAAAACAGCAAAAATTAATTTTCTTAAGTTCTAGAGATGAGAAGCCTGGAATGGGTCTTACAAAGCGAAGGTGCAGGTGTTGGCAGGAGTATGTTCCTTCTGGAGGCACTAGGGGAGAAATGTTTCTTGCTTTTTCCAATTTCTAGGGGCTTCCAATGTTCATTGGCACGTGGCTTTTGCCTCACCTTATTCTCATGTCTGTTTCCATGATCACATCTCCTTCTCTGACTCTGACCCTTCTAAGAGTCTGGTTTTATAAATACCCTTGTGATTAGATTGGGCCCACCTGGATAATCCAGCCTAGTCTCTCCATCTCAGGATCCTTAAATTAAGCACATATGCAGGCTCCCTTTTTCCATGTATGGTAGTATGTTCATGGGTTCTGGGAGCTAGAGTTTGGGACTCTTTAGGGCCATTATTCTACCTGCTATAGATTCCTTTTAGTCACTTATGTGTCTGCCAGGTGCCACCTCCTCAGAGAGGCTTCCAGGACCACCTAGAATCTCATCTATCCTGGTCACCTGTTTACCTTGTTTTATTAAATCTGGGAATAGTGTATTTATTTTCCAATTTTATTTTTTATTGTTAATTATCTGTCATTTTATTTGTCACTTTCTTTCTCCTTCCACTTGAAAACAAGCTCCAGTAACAGAGAAACGTGGTCAGTTTTCTTCACTACCTTGTCTACCAGATCAAAATAGTTCCTAACACTTGGTAGATTCTCAGAAGATGTTTGTTGAATGAATCAATCTGTATACAGTCTAAGGAAGCCTGCCTTACATTACAACAATAGTAATATATACTTGTTCCTATTACTATCAATAATGCAATTTTTTCTTTTTACTAAATAGCAGTTAAACATGCTGTCAATAGATTTTCTTTTGAATTTAAGTAATGTGTTTCTCTTTGGGACATGTATGAGATCAATAAAGATACCAGATATAAACTGAAGCTACAGGAAAAACAAAACATAGGGACTAGATGAAATTAATATAAACAGTGAGTATCTTGCTAAGAAAGAATGGTTATATTATCTTGATCCCTACAATGAATCATAATGCCATGATGAATAACATGGGGCCTCTTCCCTGTTGACAACAGTAAATGCCAAGAAAGAATGGAGGGAAGAGGGAAGAGAGGTTTTAATTGAGACATCAATTCTGGTAAGCTGAGCTTTGCTCAGCCTGTTCCAAAACATGGTTGTTAGCACTTCAGGAAACTCTGAAAGCTTTTAGACAAAAGGAAAGACATTAATGGCATTAAGAACAACCTTGATGGAAGGAGTGCGTTTCTATAAGCGGGTAATTTATAGCTGCTAAATTTTTGCTCATTTTTGTATCCAGGTGACTCATAAAACAAACCCTCAAATGAAATCAGGAAATACTTACTGAGTACCCCATGCTGGTCAGTACTGAGGCCCTCATATCAAATTGAACAGTATTGAGGAGGAGAGGAGGAGGAGGCTTGGAAGGGTTGGGAAGACTTCATGGAAGAGGAGTGTTTAGGCTAAACTGTGTTTCCTCCAAAATTCATATGTTGAAGCTCTCACCCCTGCTATGACTGTACTTTGAGATGAGGTATTTAAAGAGGTAATTAAGACTAAATGAGGTCATTTGGGTGGGCCCTAAATACAGGATGACTGATGTCCTTACAAGAAGAGAGAGAGGGGGGCACCTGGGTGGCTCAGTTGGTTGAGCGTCCATATCTTGATTTCAGCTCAGGTCATGATCTCAGGGTTGTAGGATGGAGCCCTGCATCAGGCTTCATGCACAGCATGGAGTGAGATTCTCCCTCCCTCCCTCCCTCCCTCCCTCTCCCTCTGCGCCTTTCCCCTGCTCATGCTCTCTTTCCCTTTCTCTCTCTCTCTCTCTCTCTCTCTCTCTCTCTCTCAAATAAAAAAAAGAAGAGATAGAGAGACACCAGGCATGCACACATACAGAGTAAAGGCCATGTGAGGATCCAGTGAAAAGCCAAGGAGAGAGGTCTCAGGAGAAACCAAATCTGCCTTTACCTTGATCTTGTAGTTCCAGCCTCCAGAACTTTGAGAAAGTAAATTTTTGTTGTTTAAGCCACCTAGTCTATGGCACTTTGGTATGACAGCCCTCAGGGATTGATACAAGGAGGAGTTTGATCTACATCTTGAAAGATGGATAGGGCCATTTCTGGGAAATGGCCTTGGTGAAGATCACTCAGTATCCAAGGGTGTGGTTCATCATGGCACTTTGCAGAAGTGATGAATGAAGCCACAAAAAAAGTTGGAATGCACACAGCTTGTTGAATTAAAGAGTAGAAGAGAGAAGTGTGCATGAATAGAGTACAGGTGGGTCCTTGGGGACTTGTGTGGCATTGTCTGGGAGGTGGGGAGGAGACTGTGGAGGATCTTGATATCCAGGGGGAGAAAGTTTGTATTTGATACAGTAGAAAATCTGGGGCTTACCAAAAGTCAATTTTAGATCAGGGAGAATATGATCTATGGCAGATATGGAAATGAAGAGTAAGGTGTGGCTTCAGGAATTACAAGAAAAAAAAAAAGCCAGAGTTTGGTGATAGATAGCCTGGGTGTTAACTGGGAAGAGCCAGCAGTTAAAAATGAATGGTAATGAGGTAATGAGGCTGAGAGGTGTTCAAATAGTTGTTCATTCTTGGGGTTTCATGGGGATTGGAATGTGTTAGCAACTGACTAACTGGAATGCCCTACCCCCACTTCTTTCAAATACTTGAAAATAGAAGGATTACCCTTTCTTTCCATAAAGCTTTATTATTATCAATTAAGCTTTCTCCTTTCACCTACAACAAGAAGCTTACTATGTGTGAAGATCCCAGGGATGATTGAGGTGCCCTTTATGCCCCACAGAATCCTAGGATAGTTCTTTTTTAAAGATGTGCTCGTTCTCCGAGAACAGTAACACCATCTGCCTCACATACTACATAAATACAGTTGCTCAGATGGTTCTTATCTATAAAATAGCGTTTGTTTTATTTTCACTGTTTGAATTATACGTGTTTATTTTAGAAATTTTGGATACCAGACAGACATAAACAAAAAATTAAAATAATTCATAGTCCTGCTTAGCTATAGCTACAGTTAATATTTGGGGAATCAAATGGAATAGTTTTGATTACTTCAGTTAATGCATATGATTATTGAATATGTTAATATTAGTGTTATTGGTAACATTACATTTTTTTTTTTAAGTTTAGAGTCCCTTGTGATTTTCTCTGGGAGTTCCTAGAATAGCATAGAAAATAGTGACTTTTTTTTTTCCAAACAAATTTTTGTAGGTGGTATTTGCAGTAGATAGCAGAGGTTCAGTTTTGCTCTTAGGAAGATGTGGAAACCTCTCTGAAATAATGTTTGGTAAATTAGAACTGACTTATTATTTTTAAAGTGTGTGTTTTCATTTAGGATGAAGAAGGTTTTTAAGAGATTCAGATATCTTCCTTGTAAATAGTGCATATTCACTGTATTATTTTACTCTTGAACATATTTTTCATATCTTTTTTTTAATGTTTACTTATTTTTGACAGAAAAAGAGAAAGAGAGGGAGAGAGAGCGCACACATGGGTGCAGAGAGAGAGGGAGACAGAATCTGAAGCAATGTGGGGCTAGAATGAACCTGCCAGATCATGACCTCAGCTGAAGTCACACTTAACCGACTGAGTCACCCAGGCACCCCCCATATCTCTTTTTTAACATACAAAGTTTAATTTTAGAGGAGCCAGTCATTTAATACAGAATAAAATGAATGAAGTGCAGTCTTCTTGGAAATGAAATGGTTAGCCACTTGAGATAAACCAGAAAGGTAGGGCACTTGCCCTCTAAGGTTAGGTGGTATTTTACTTCAGACTGGTGAATGTTTGGCTTCTAAGAAGGTGCAGATTTGATGTTTTTTTCATTTCATGTCTGCGTTGAATTGGCTTTCTAATTACGATGTTACAAACCTTTTTGAATCATCATAAGAAATTCTTATTGTCCGATTGCCGTGGCTAAATAATAAATACCTTTTATCTTTTTGATATTGCAGTTGACTCATGTTGACCAGGCAAGCTTCCAGGTTGATGCCTTTGGAACATCCTTTATTCTCGATGTCGTGCTAAACCAGTAAGTCTTTGTTGAGCTGTACTCACTTTTGTCAGATATACATTCAAACCACTTTTATAACTTTTGTAAAGTTTTGTTTTCTTACTGTATTTTACTTCATCTTCCCATATCAGTTAAATACTACATTTAAAACTTTTCTTTAACGTTTATTTATTTTTTTG